TGTTTTTCTACTTGAGTTGAGCCCCTTGTGCCTATGCAGGCATCTGCTTAAAATGAGGGCCTCTGCATCATGGCTTGGAATACCCTGTAACTGTGTGATTGAGCAGGAGCAGAAATAATCCCCAAGCGGATGGTCCCTCGGAGCTTGGCAAGATTAGCAAGCACGGCAAGCACAGTCTGAGGCAGGGGCAAGAGAGGAGAATGGGTGGGACACACTGAGAAACTTAGTACTGAGGCTGCCACAGTGAGTAATTAAGCTCCCATGCCTGCCAGAGTAGCATAAAACTCCCATCAGCTCAGCAAGAGGCGCTGGGGAGCAAAAGACCACCTAGCAACAGTTTTAAACCCGTCTTACAGTCTCATACAAAATAGATACAACTATATCTGTCTCAGGAGGCTGTATGGTAAAAAGAATCTCTCAGGACTAGTTACTGCACTACTGTGTTTTAATAAATTTCGCTGGTAATAGTTCAGCTGAGTGCTATTTATAGAAACTCAGACATTTCATCTCCTGCTCCTGGCCCCACATTTTTTGTCATTTTCTACAGGTAATTTTCATCTACACAGTTTTACAGGTGGGGTGCGGAGATTGCTATTGCTTTTTCATATATATTCTAGTTCTGATACAGGTTTATTTTCCACAAGAGTGTCTCTACGTTTCAGGTTAGTTCTGAGATGGTTAGTCTGTTATACACAGTAGAGTTGTTCACCCTTTATTTTCAGTTTAGCAGAGATTACTGGAACCATGCATTTATCTAATTTGTATGCACCAGTATAGTTTTATCTGTGCAATATGTAAACTCTGTTATGGTTCTAAGTATGTCATTTTTTGTTTCTGCCAATAAATTCTGTCAGAGTCTGAAGCTAAAATTATTATGAAAGTACATGGTTTATTTTTTAAATTATAGAGATGATCAAAGCACAAGGACTCTGCTGTTGGCAAGCACATAATATTTTCTACTTGTGCACCATGGAATTATTTACAGCTAACCTCACGCCAATTTATTTATAAAATGTAACATTTTAGTGCTGGAAGAAACAAAACTTGTAGTCAACACTGTGAAGCAGTAGCCTTTGACAAACTATGTCAGCCATTTAACATCCAAGCTCTGCTCCTTATTTAGCAGTATTAATGTTTGTTCAAGCACCAAACATTAATGCTGGGGTGACAAGGGGATCAGATGCTTTGTGAGGTTGTTGTCACATGTGCTGACTGTGCATTCTGCCCCGCAGATTCGGAGAACAGCTACACACTGAGCTGCGGTGTCCCCGTCCAGCAAGGCAAGGCTCAGCAGAAACGCAATGCGACCCTGCCCAGCTGCGCAGGTAGGTGTTCTGCTTGCCTGGGCCTTGGCATCTAGGAGGTAGGTGATGGAGGTCCTCCTGACCATGTGGGAGTTGCAAGACATACAGCTCTCAAGTTACACAAGGCCAAAATTAAGGTAGCCTGTGTTTCATCACGTGCACACTCGCTTTTCTTCAGTTTCTCCTTGAGGGCTGGAGAGTGCTTAGTTGCCCTCCAGCGTGGTATTGTGTTGGTAGGTCAGTATAGGAGTGATGGAGGTTTGAGATATATTCAGTAAGGACAAATATTTAGAATAACTTATTTTTCATAGTCCAGCAAGGCAATAGGGAGGATATCAAAATGGTATTTCGTCCCAGACCTGGCAGCAAGCTAGATGGGCCCATCAGTAGAACAAGAGCAGAAGGCTACAGTGGGTCCCAGCCCTCACCTGCAGAGGCCTTCCTTAGGAGCACAGATCCTCCTACTACAGATTCTCAGTAAAAAGTTATGAGACTTTTACGAGCACATACTGTATTTCATTCATCTTGTTCTCAGAAATGGCTGGATTATTTTTGCAGAGACATTTCAAGATGTGTCTTAAAGCTGATATTCAGCATAAAAAAATGTTCAGCCCAAAATGGTTGAAGTCTAGCAGAATTAGAAGCAGCTGAAACAGCACTCAGCAGCGGGAAGTGTCAGCCCACTTTGCATGTCGTTACCTGCTGTACTTCTCTCTAATTTGCCAGTTCTCTAACCACATATTTCTTATAAATTTGGAGCGTGTTAGGAGGTACGATCCCATGGCAGCAGATGTGGGACAGGGGCAGGCTACCTCTACAGTCCTGGTTTGACAAGGCCCTCCCAAGGAAAGAGGGACCCACATTGCAGCACTGACCTGTGTCCACCTCCCACCTGCCCCAGGTCCCATAGGCAGCCCGCAGCAAGCTGGCAGGTGATGGGCCTTTCCCACCATGGACTTTGTGAGGAAGTCAGCCAGCAGCTACATTTTCTAAGCAGTTCATGGCTGTATAGCATCTTTTAAAGTCACAAGACATTACTGTCTTGGATTTAAAGCTGAAGAATAAACCTTACAAGCCATAGACAGCAATCAAATAAAGACATTTGGATGGTTTTCAACTGCCAACAGCATTGCTCCACTAAATGAATCTTTTTCCTGGTTGGCATTAGCAAGAGCAGAACTACAGCCAAGCAACAGGGGAAGTCACAGTCAGAAAGTTTGGGGAAAAAAGGTAGGAATTAACCTTTTTCAGAGTAAGAGATAAATTCATCCAAACTCTACCAAGATGTGCAGACCTGCCAGAGGGGGAGCGAATGTGCAGAGCATGTGCCGTACTAGCAAATTCATTGATTTTATGGGCTCAAGAGTAAGTGCCTGTGTGAAAAAACTAACTTGTGGAAATGGACCCTCTTGTACAAGATATATAACTCTTGGGCTGTCTCTTCTCTGTGTCACAAGAAGACTTCTGAGTCTGTTTATAAAAATAAGTTTCAGACTTTGTTTTGTCTGCATCCCAAATGATAGGTTTTTTTCACTTTACATCAACAGATTCATTGGCCCCACCAATCAAGCAGAAAGCTCGTTTTAAAATTAAAGATGCAAAATGTCATTTACGGCCTCGCAGCAAAGAAAAAACAAAAGATTCTGGGAAGCAAGCTGGTTTAGGTATGTGGGTTCTTCTAACATGTAAACATCTTTCTAATTTTTGTTTGTTTGCTTGCTTGCTTGTTTCTCTATTTTGTTTTCACACTGCAGATGGGGAAAAAAAAGTAATGGCTTCCATATTTGGATCTGAATTTAAGTTCAGGCCATGGTTCACACTCCAGCTTAACAGTGCCTTGGGTTTGGATCTAACCGTGCTGAAATGTCACCAGTTGCTTTGAAAAAATCTGTTAAAAAGCACATGAGTTTGGAATTAAGCTGATCCCTTATCTGGTGTTGGTAATGGCAAAAATATCCTGAGACAAAAAGCTATGACCAATGCAAAGTTACATGAAACAATGTCAGTTTGGTTTGATTTAGTTTTCCCAAATGAGGTTTATAAAAGAAAACAAAAGCTATTATTTATTTGCTTTATGCTGGATTATTATCGCATTGCAGCAGCAAAGACAACCCCTAACCGGGAAAGTTATAATCAAAATCTGATGTTACACAGCCTTAATTTTTTTTTAAGTTGGAGTGAGTAGTCGTGATGTTAGAAAAAAATATTTAGAAGATTTAGATATAATAACTAAAAATCTGAATTTTTAAAAAAATTTTGTGGCAGGCTGAATCAAAGAATTTTTTTTAAACTTGGTATGACTAGGTGTGTTATTTTATTATTATTAGTTTTGAATATTATTTTAAAAGTTGAACAAAAAATATTTTTAAAACTATATGTATTTAACAGATCTTCATGGCATTTATTTATTGTCCTCTCTCCCCTTGATATCATGACAAGGATGGTTAAAGAGTGTTTAGGTGCTACTGCTGTGCATTTCCACAGCTTAAGATATTTGGAGTTCATTTAAAATTAATATTAACTCAAAATTTTCCAGATTTTAATACATAGTATTAGTATAATAAAAACAGCTCATATTGTTGCTTAAAGCAACTTAGCAGCTTACATTAAACATATAGTGGTGATATATCTCTGTTGTGAATCTGACTTATCACCACTTTCGCTAGTGAGTGAGGAGTCATATATGAGCCCTAAATAGGTAAAAGTGAAAATAGTTCTCCTAAAAAAAATGTTAATGGTCCAAAGATTTTATTTTTTAAATTTAGACTCATATTTTGTCTTTACTCTGCAATCTAGACATTTATCTCTCTAACTTCTCAAGTACTGGCTTGAAACAATTTGTCAAGATGCTTACCTTGTCCCTTCTGTATTCTTGTCTTTTAATAAGATGTTATGATCAGATTCATTAAAGTCAGAGAAGTTGATTTTTTTGGTCCGTGCAGTCACCATGGGAATATATATCTTGGGTGCATTTCCCTGTCCTTTGCTTGCTTTGCTTTGTGTTTGTTATGTCATCTGAACTTCTGAGTCTATCAGTAAGATTATATTATACAACCACACACCGGGCATGAAATCCCTCTGGTGGCCTGAGTGCTAGAAATTTCTCCCTGACCTCAAAGATCCATTGCCTATCACAAAAAAGATGTTTTTCACATAGATTTCTTTATATAGGGAGAGGATACTTACGTGATGGTGTTCCAATGGATTGTGGCCTTTCTCCTCAGTGGTTACACATAACCGATGAGGGCATTCAGTTCCTCTGGCTTGGGATAGGATGAGAGGAAACAGCCTCAAGTTGCGCCACAGAAGGTTTAGGAAAATTTTCTTCACCAAAAGAGTTGTCAAACACTGGAACAGGCTGCCCAGGGAAGTGGTTGAGTCACCATCCCTGGGGGTATTTAGAAGATGTGTATATGTAATGCTAAGGGACATGGTTTAGCGGTGGAACTGGTAGTGTTAGGTTAACGGTTGGACTTGATGTTCTTAAGGGTCATTTCCAACCTAAATGATTCTATGGTTTCCCCTCAGATAAAGCCTTCAGATATATTTTCATAATCTCCCAATCAAAGGCTTTTAAAACCTTTGATATCTGGTGATTGTCGCTGCTGAAAGTGATGGAATATCAGCTGGTAGTTTCTAGAGACCCAGGCCTACAGCTCTCATGAATTTATGAGATTTGACTCTCTTGCTTTGTTTATCCATCAAATGACTGTATGCAGTATTGCTGATCTTAACTAATTTCTGTAAAGACCTTTCTAATCCTTATGCAGAAAAGAGACAGGCAGTTAGAGGTATTAGAGGTAATCACCGCACCGTATTTTTGCCTTCTGCACTCACTAGCAAAATGAGCAAACCCAAAATTGCAGAGAGAATGAGGTATCTAACAACACATGTGAAGTGTTATGAAGTGTGTCACTGCATTCATGATAACCCAGCTGAGATATCGCTTATTAGCTAATCCATTGCTATTCTGCTACTTTATTTCTTTTCTGTGTTGCTTCTCTCATGCAAAGGAGGTCAATTCCCTTGTACAGACAACTGCCAGGTGACCTTTGTGAATCTCAAGTGTGATTCATCCAAGAAAAAACGCCGAGGCCGTAAGTCACCATCAAAAGAAGTGTCTCATATCACCGCAGAGTTTGAAGTGGAGATGAAGTCAGAAGAAGTCTCAGGTTTGTGAAAGAACTGTCTGTGGGGAGAAATCAGAATTCAGTTCCTTGATGTGTTATTAAAATCTCCTTGATGCTATTTCATCAAGCTGCTGTGCAAAACTTTTAGCACAAGCTTCATTCAACAGCCTTCCCAAACTCAAAGTTTCTGAGATTTAATTGAGAGGAATCAGGTATGAAATAAAACCAAAGGAGCAAAGATTGCAGCAGAATTCCTTCAGAGCCTTGAGTTAAGTCTTGTACTTTAATTTAGTCTGATTTCTTTAAACAGCAGAAGTGCTAATTGATGCACAGAGAATGTAAGGATTAGGTAGAAGTTCCATAGCAACAATAAAAATATCCTCCAAAAAGTAAGTTGCTGAAACTTCAGTCTGAGAATCAAACATTTTTGTCACACGTTTGAAAAATTCATGTTTTCATAACAAACTTCAGGAAGAAAAAGAATTGCTTCAAGTTTTTAATGAGATGGAATATTACGCTATAAAAGCCAGCCAAAGAAAATGTGGGCTGAATTCTATAAACATGTCAGTCCTCAAAGGCAGGTTTCTTAACCCTGAGCAGTACCTTACCAGCCAAGTGATTCAAAGAGTATCGTGCCAGAAAGCAACTTTCTTAGTGTCACTCGGGTATTTTGGCCAGGTAAAGTGGAAGAATTCCTAATCAACTGAGTAAAGCACGGACAGAGAACATTCAGAAACATTAGTGGTGGCACACTGCACACATATCTGGAAGTACAACACAGTGGGATCAATTCTTTCTGCAGCTGTCTCCCTGGTTACTCAGTGTAACCAGACTTCTTAATGTTAGAGATAAGATATCAACACTCAGTGTGCACTTACAAGCTGTGAAACTCAGTTTGATGGACCTCAGTGTACTGTCTTGTCCCTTTAAAAGGCCTGATTTTTAATACAGTGAACTCTTCCACAATTTATATGGAGAAGACAGTGAAGCAAACAGAGGTGTCATAGTGTGATGCAAGCTCACATTTTGTTAAGCACCTCTTTTTAAACATGCATCTCAATTGCTTCTAGTTTTGTTATCATTTCCCATCTAGACACCTGTAACATTGACTGTGTTCGGAAAAGGATGGAGCAGAAGCTGCAAACTGCAATCAAAACATTGAGGAAATCTATTAATAAACAGCAATTTTACATTCAGTTTTCTGGGACAGAATATGAAGTGGCTCAGAAGCCAGCTAAAGCTACTGAAGGGCATGAAGCTTGCAGTACAGGGCAAGTGCTGCAGGATGGAAAATGCGGTAAGTCCCAATAACTCGATTCAGTCTTATCCCCAAAACAAGCAACCCCAAATTAACTTGTCTTTAGTGAGCCAGGCAGAAAACTTAAGAGATAACAGACAATTTAGATCAATACTACTCACGATATATGCATGGACTACTGACAGTTCATAAGACTTTTGAAGGGAGTTCATTAAATGATGGCAGGAAAACAAAAGAAGTATATATAGGCATACTTTCCCATGCTGTCAGCCAGTATGTATCAAGGCCTGCCACAAGGCAATGTTGGCAATTAGCTCCCAGTTGCTCCCAGCATCTTATGAAAACATAATTACAATTCTGTAAAACAGCAATATGGTGTTTGCCTAGATGCCATGTATTTAGTTTTGTATCACCTCTCTCACCACCAAATAATCCATGACCCATGGATATATTTATATTTAACACTCAAGAGGTCCAATTAAAAAAACAATCTATAGAAGTCTATTTTAACTTTATGTAAAATCGCTAATTTCTTTAACCCTTTTCCCAGGTTATTGGGCTGTAGTGCTTTACTGGGGGCAGGGTGCTAACACAAACCTATTAATGGCAGTTCTCAGCACTGTAAGCTTTCTAATCACTTGAAGTCACCTTTTCAAAATCAGCATATCTATTTTTCCAGCTTCTTTTAGACACCAAGTGATTTACAAGCAAAAAGAAATAGTTAAGTGCAGATCTGATAGGTGCCTCTAATGAGTTGGTTCAGAGGCTGCTGTAACCATATAGGAACAGTGATTTAGAAACAGTATTGAAAGGCTGCTGCTATTAGTGTCTAGAAACCCATACATTTTAACTGCCTATATCCAGCAGAGAAAAATGTTTAATGCAGTTATGTGCCACGTTGCAGCAAGAAAAGCATGTGTATTCACATCTGTATGTAAAACGCTTTCCAGTTTGGGTATTTGAGTGTCAAGACTCATAAAATATTACTCAAGATACATTGTCCTCAGAGAAATCTCTAGAACAGATCTTAGGAGACAGACTTTTGTAGTTGTCTGCCATAAAAACAACATGTAAATGCACCTAGTGTAAACTAAAAATTCACATCACTTCCCATACGTTATACACCACAGTTTTAATTAAACTGCAATATACTGTTTTAAGACTGCGTCAGCTTTATTAACAACATATGTCTGATAAAGGCTTCAGTGCAGTACAATGCCATTTAATAGCTTAAACAATAGAAGAAGGACCTCACTCTGATATAAATTGACCTAGACCTCAGTGGAGATGGGCCTGTTTACGTTAGGTGAGGATCCCGGACTAACATATGCAAAACATATGTCACCACAATACTGGAGCCAAATAGATCCATCTTCTCTAAATGTTTGATATAAAAGCAAATAATATGATCAAAATGGAAGCCCTTATGTAGATTCCCCTTTTCTTTTCTCTTCTCAGTTACCTGCAGCACGGGCACCTTTTATAGTGGAGAACAAAATCAGTGCGTTCCTTGCTCACCAGGAACATACCAAGACACAGAAGGTCAACTTACCTGTGAGCCTTGCCCAAGTAACGATGGACAGGGAGTAGCAGGCGCCCGGAATGTGTCAGAATGTGGAGGCAAGTTTAATTTTATTATAAAAGGATTAGGTGTTGCCACACAACTTGTGAGGCATGGAGGCTAAAAGACAGGGAGAGCCTTCCACACTCCTGTCTTGTAAAGGTAACAGAAGAAATCTCTGTGCACTTACAAGCAATGCACAAAATATTTTGGCTTGTTCCAACTGCTGATATTGCCAACAAGAAGATGGGACCTGCTGCAGCAATGTGAGTTACGGTATGGAAATGAGCAAGTCAAGCAAAGCATTTTGCTTCAAGTCAGGTATGGAATCTGGACATGCCTCAGCTTGTAGGGACTCGTCAGGTATATCACAAGCCAAAGAGATGGATTACTTTGGACTGGTATTGGTGAGTTTAATGAACCTGCTGATTTCATGTTTTGCGTGAGATGCAATTTACCTGCTCCAGTCAGCAGCTATCATAATTTCAAGATAGTTATGCTGCAGGGATCTCTAACCTGGGCTCAGAGCTAATGACTCCAAGTTTCAATGCTGCTTGAATTCGCTGTAGCTTTTGGCAATGTAGCATCTCTGACTCAGCTTCATGATATATAAATTAGATTATAATTATGATAATACCTGGTTTCAGGAGAGAGCTGTGAAGTTCAGCTTGTTAATGCTTCTACTGTAACTTGATCAAGATAAGGTTTTAAGACACAACTGTTAATTATCTTATTTACCTTATTTCATTATAGATGAGCAAAATCTAGTTTATAGCAGATTCATTATTTGACTTTGAAAGAAATCTGTCCTACCTGCTATACAAGTTCTTACTTTAAAACTCCTCCATGTAATTTACATTAATGCTTTCTTCAAGGATATCTGGAGTGAGCACAATGAGTAACACATGAGAAACTGCCACTTTTTCCCCATCCACTGAATAAAAAAATAACTCTAGCATCTCCAGTCCAAGCATATGCTATATTTTGCTGATTTACTGTAGGAAGGAACTATCACAGCAAAAATCTGGAAATGCTTGTACATCTTTGTTATGTTAACTTTTATTTAGCCAAAATCCAACAAGAATAGATAATAAAAATAAAATCTTAGTTTATAAAGGTTGAATATAATATACTGATCAAAGCAGCACAACAACTAGAAGAAAAGGACTGTTTTGTTTCAAGGGTTGCATTCAAATTATTTTTCCACACAACAACAATTGTTACAGAGTGGATCTATCTCAAAATGTTTGTTGTCGGATCACAACAGTCTGTTTTTCTGCTCAGGTCTCCCCTTTTTTCTTTCTCTGAAAGTGGCAAAAGAGAATATGCTTTGGACTTCATAAACCTTCCTGTCAAAGATTTTATCAAACTCAGTATGCCTCCATAAAATGTGTCAGGATGTGTGAGGAAACTGTGTTTTGATGAACACAGATTTTGTTAGAAAGGTACTCACCACCTGTAATCAATAGTAGTTTTGCATTGTATCTCCTGGAGCAGTAATGCCTGTGTAGTAATAAATAAGCTGTGATTGAAATCCTCACCCTTATAGGTGAGGCACATACATGAAGTATGTAAGAGATGTTGAGTGCCTATTGCACATAACTTTTATGTTGTAGCTGCAACTAAGATGCTGTGATACTTAAGTTACATGCAATCCATATGGGTACAAGGCCAAAACACAGTTAGAAAACGTAGTCATTTGGGGCATTTCTCAGGGAAAACACCTCAGATCGATTTTGTTGACAATTTCAATACAGAAGACAAGAAGGGCAAAAGTTAGCTGATTCTTATGTACAGGTAGGGACTGAGACATATTAGTGCTGAAAGCATCAGGTCCTTAGCAATATTAAATCCCAACTGTACCTCTTCTTTAAAAGGATATTTGTAAATGACAATTCACAAGTACTTAATTTTCACACTAAAACCCAGATTCAAATCCAGTGTTCGTTAACTGCCCTCATGTTAAATCTAGTGACCAACTGGACCAGACCAGGTGGATCAGTTTTGCTACAAAAATAATAGCAGAATTGTCTTAAAATTAATAATGTCATAATATTTTTCACAGAGGTCTGTATCCCAACAGCCAGCTTGTATGGGAGCAAAACTAAATGCCAGAGATCCTAGTCCCACTGGTGTTTATAGGAGTTTGACTTTTGTGGGGACAAACACAGAACTTGAACTTTACTTTTGCTCAGAATCTCTAGTTCATCCTGAGCGCCATGTACCTAAGATGCTGAAGGCTCCCAACATTTCCCAACAAGTATCAGGGTTCTTAAGGGATCCCACCCCACCTAGAGCTCTTGAAACTTTCAGGTTTTCAAGCCAGTTGTTCTGCCTGCTATTCAGTTCTCAGGACAGCTAAACTACGAAGTATTGGGATTAGGCAACCTCAGGGAACACCTGATATCTCAAAGTGCTGGTCTCCCAGGCTGGGGTGTTGTGAAGATATGCATTAATGCCATAGTCTTGAAAAACTTGACATCCCGATTCTCAGGTGGGTTGTCAAGGAGTAAAGTACTTAAGCTAGCAAGAACCAAGCCAAACAACTGCCTATCAGAAGTTGCCTGGAGAGTAGGTTTTGAAACTACCTTGTGTCTGTCAGTAGACTCATTCACAGAGTGCTTTGCTTTACAAATCACCGTTTTGTGGCAGAAGAGCTGCTGACAAGAGCTGGTTTTCACAGCTATATAGAAAGCTGCCAGTGTCAGCTATTATCACAGGGCTATGGAGTGGTCCCATCCAGTTGGGTAAATCCCATGATCTACTGTTTCCATATCTATAAAATGGAGATGTAAAAAAAAAATAATTACTTGCTTCATAGATATGGTGCAAAGATACATTTTTTCCTACAAAGTGTTTTGAAATTCTCCGATTAAAGACTTGCTGAAAGTACAAAGTATTCAAACATCTTAATAGAGCCCTTGATTAAAAAAAAAAAAAACACCACAAGAAAAACCCCACAACAACCACCAAGAAAAATCAAACAGAAACATAGGTAGCAAAGAGCTTATTAAGAAAAAGTTGTATTTACTGGTGGTGTTTTTAGGAAGCAGTTACAGGACCAATACAAAATCAGCAGGTAAGATTAGAATTTGATCTGCAGCTGTCTTGATGTCACATGTTTACATTAAAGAAAGCAATGCTAACTACTAGTGGGTTTTATACTTTGTCCAGAAAAGTCAGCTCGCTAATATAGATAATTATTTTTGATTTCTAGGGCAATGTTCTCCTGGACACTATTCTTCAGATGGTTTTAAACCTTGTAGAGTCTGTCCTCTTGGTACATACCAGCCTGAACCAGGAAGAACCCTCTGCTTTCCATGTGGTGGTGGGCTTGTGACGAAGTATGAAGGTGCTGTTTCCTTTCAAGACTGTGAAACCAAAGGTGAATTTCAAATCTTTCCATGATTCATATTCCTGC